CCCCGACAAAATTCACTCTCAAACAGAGAATATGTAATTTACTTTTTCTTAGATTAACTTTAATTAATTCATCTCCTTGTACTTGTGTGCTTGCGCCCCTTGGAGGCATCTTGTTCGTATCCAAACGGTAATCTTCATATTCGATAAACACCCATTTTTAGGACTTTGTTCCAAGAGGTTTGTTCCTTACACAATCGTCTGATCTTCTTTTAATTGTTAGCGAGTAACCACGCGAAACAATAACCATTATAAAATAGATATTGACACGGAACAATCCTATTAGTTCTTGTTTTGCACCAAATAATTATATTCAATATCCCTTCAAATCAAGCAAATGTTGGGAAAAAATCACCTTGTCATCCATTTTTTTCTATTAAAGTCCTGTAAAATAACGAATTTACAGTAAAACATGCAAAATAACTTTATGTGCATGTCCTATACAACTGCTAATCTTGTAAAGAATATTGATACAGATTTGAAGAATGCAAGTTTCGTGTTTGTTGGATTCAAGCAATTATGCAAGGAGGTGAATCTGTTGTATACTGCTAGTTAACAGTTGTTGACACCGCACTTCATTTGTATAATTGTATCATTCGCAACTTTATTATAGACAACTTGTTGACAGAGGTTACCTGTAATTACTTGGAAATCATTTTTTGCAATCAAGATATTGTTGGACATCTCAATTTTTCAATTTTTCAGTTCAACAAAAGCCCAGGAGATCACATTCCAGGATCAGGACATCACCATATGCTCAAACTTTTCGAACGATGTAAAATTTAGTTTAAATCTGCACAAACCAAATCTTTCAATTTTCATGTTTTCCCATAATCAGCATTTAAGATTCAGAAAATGCACAAATAGAAAGACAAACATCATTAGACAAAAATGCGAATGGACCAGCAAGTTCATACTTTTGCTGCCAACTCCAAAATTCACGAGAACACAAGAAGCAAAACAAGATTCAACAAGATGGTCCCGTACTAATCTTATAATTTGAAGTTTATTGCATTTAAAATTTCAAGTCATTGGCAATCCATGCGAAATAGAGTTACTTAGGACCAATATCCTTGAGAGCACAGATCTGCTCCGCCCCCATGGCAGACATAACACTCACAACAAGATCCTTCCCCTCTTCAAATCCAGCCTTTATCTGAACATTTTATCAAAATTACGAACTTAGAGAATATGCAATAAGCCAACTACATAGAGGTGTCAATCCGGGTGGTCCGGGTCGGGTCGGCCAGCCAACATGTGAGCCCGGTAACGGCCCGTGAGAAAAAAAGCCCGCCCGCTGCGGGTTCAGGGCCGGTTAC